TTTGTGTCCTCTTCCCAGCAGCCCTACTGGAGGGCTCCCTCTGACGAAAGGTGGATTTGTCATATGTTCTGTTGTTCCAGCCCATGCTTGTTTCTTGGTGTAATTGATTATGTTACTGTTTGCAACCATCTTCTTCCTCCCTCTGAGGGTTTTATATATCCACACCCTTTGCCATATGACTTCCAGGAGTGATTCCAGTGAGTGGAATATATTTCTTCCAGGAGTTATTCCAATAGGCGGAATATATTGTCAGGCTTGGCCATGGGGCTTGCTTTGGCCAGTGTGATGTGAGGGGACGTGATTTTATGTCATATCAAAGCAGAAGCTTTTAAAGATATTGCATAGTTTGGCTTGGCCTCTTGCCTTTCTGCCTTCCTGCAGTATGATCGGCATGTCCCAGATGGTTGCTGCTCCTTCAGCCTGAGCCCTGGAGTGAGAAGACTTGTGGAGCAGAGTGGGGCAGAGATGCAGCTGACTGCAAACCAGAGTGCAAGAAATAAACCTGGTTGTTGGAAGCCACTGAGATTTTCGGAGTCTTTTGCTGCAACAAAATACTAATACATTGGTTCTCTCGGTAAGCTAGGAAGTGTCCATCTTCTGGGGCAAACTCTTTTCGTTGGAAGCATCTAAACTACTTCCAGCTCCCTCCGCAGACTGAGTCATGACATCACTCTGCTTTCACTGATGGGAATCAAATGCTGGCACGCACTTTCATCACGTTGATGGAAAGCGATGCAGCATGGTGGTTGAGTTGGAGCCCTACCTCCTCTGTTCTGCTTGGCCCCTCACCACTGTGTGACCTTGGCCCATCCGCTTAACCACTTTATTCCTTTGTTTGGCTCATTGTGGTAAAATGAATAGAGCCTACTTTAGAGTTTTGATATGAAGAACAAATGCAATGAAAGGTAGCTATGAAGTTTGTTGTTACTGCAGTTGATGTTTACTGACTCTGTCCAGGCTCTTATGAGAGAAATTCACGGAATGCAAAGAACTTCTAGAACTAGAACTGGATCTCCAGCTGCTGGAGCTCCTGCTACCTGTCTCTCATCTCTTCTGGTTTCTGATTGACTTTATTCTCTCCTCGTGAAGATTAGTTTTCTCCAGAACTCAAGAGGCAAAGGGCCTTCCGTGCTGTCTCCATTTACACAGTCCAGGGAAGATGGACTCGGGTCATGTTTCCATCCCTAAATCAGCCTCTCTGTCCAGAAGATGTCCCAGGTAGCTCACATTCCCTGTGGCTTGGGGCAAAGGCAGTGGTCCACTGCTGGAAGCATGTTGCGGGTGGGGGGCTGCGAATCAAGACAGTAGCACCACAAGTAAAGTTACCACAAAGACCAGTGTGTGGTTCCCAGCACTTGGATATGGTTTGTGGTAGTTGTTGGCAGCATGGAAAACACATGGTCTTGGAAGTCAGGCAGCTGTGCGACCCTGTGGAAATTTCTTAACCTCTATAAACCTTGATCTCATATAAAAATGGGGATAGTAATTTCTGTCTCATGTTTGTTATGATTAAGTGAGATAACATACAGGAAAGTTTATTACTCCCCAAGTCCTGCTATACTTGCACCTGAGCACCCTCAGATAAGGCAGCCCCCTCCCCAGTGTCCCCCCCATTTCTTACTTTGCAGTGAGAAACACAGCTGTCAAGTGGAGCTAAGGGCCCCCCCCCCCCCCCAGTGGCTCACTGCATTCTCTCCCTGGAGGGAAACTACATGGGATAGCAGATTATCAGAGGGTGTCCTGAGAATGAGACTGGAATATACAAAAGAATTTGATGGTTTTAAGAGGAGTTTCTCTGTTAGAACGCCTGAAATACTTTCACTTACTATGTTAGCAATTTGTAACCTACTTGGTGTAATGAGCCCCCCATGAGAATCCTATCGAGACTATGAACGTTCTCCAAAAGATGTACAATTGTACGTACAATTTCAGGAGGTTCACAAAACTCCAGGAAGCCCAGCCATGGGACCCCCAGGTGCAGAGCCCCTGCACTAGATGGGGAATCTTGCCAAGGGAGCTCTGATACCTGTTAACCTGTATGGCACTACGGAGTAGTTTCAGGCTTACGTCTTAGTCACTCTCAGAAACGGAAATCAGCTTCCCACAGTCTGCCTGGGAAAAAAGCAAATGCAAGACCATCCCCTTTACCCGTCTCCAACCAGAATGTACTCATTCACTCATCCTACTCTGTTTGAGATGATGTGCTTGTTAGAGGGGCCAGAGTGAGACAGGACTTGTAGGATAAATGCAGTGCGGTGAAGCCAGAGTGAAACTACTGCAGCCATGCTACCACCACGCGGAGAACACTGCCTGGCAAGGGAGCTGAGACAAAGGAAGGTAGTTTACCCATGAGACCATGTTCCCCTGGCGACACTGGAGCCCCTAGATGCAGCTGTGCCTGAAGGCAGACATGACTCTTGAACAGCTGTGTAAGCCATTCCCTCTTTTTGCCTAAACGATTTTAAATGTGGATTTTCCATCAATCACAAGCAGAAGAGTCCTAATATCCCTAACGAACACTGAAATAAGAATACCCCTTGAGAGAAAAACTTCAAAATCCACAAAATAGAAGTATGGGATCAACTTGAAGAAAGAGAATGGCCCTGTAGCTGGCAAGACTTGACTGCAACCTTGTTGAACAAAGACTTATTGAGGGCAGATGTTGTGCCTAGACTCTAAGTTATCTGACATTGAAAACATCTCTCAGAGGAGGGTTGGCTAGACATGCATGCCTGGACAAAGGAGGGTTGAGGAGAAAGAGTCGGCAGTGCCCAACCAAGTGCCATACAGAGTGAGACAGGACTCGTAGGATAAATGCAGTGCGGTGAAGCCAGAGTGGAACTGAGAAACAGTGTAAATGCAAAAAAAGCAAAGAATGTTCTGGAGTCAATGAAAACTTTTCCTGTGGGTGGAGGAAGGTGCTTGGGTAGGAGTGTTGAGAGATGAGAAGAAATGGGTCAGCGTGGCAAGGGATACAAGACTTTGTTTACCATGATAAGGAGCCTGGGCTCTACTGAGGAGCAAAAGGCAGAGTGTCGAAGAGCTTCAAGCTCCTGACACAACCATGTGGAAGATTTCAGCAAGATCGCCCTGACTGCAGAGTGAAAGATGAGTTGGAGGAGGAAGGCCCAGACCTAGGAGGCATCTTCCTGGAGAAGCTTTTGCCATCTTCCAAGAGACAAAGGATGGAGGCCTGAACTGAAGCAAATGAAGGAAGAATGGGTTTCCAAGCTTTTAGGAGGCAGAGTTGACAGACCTGGAGACCAGATGAATGGGGGATGAGAAAAGAAGGGTCTAGGATAATTCCCAGGCCTTTCCATTGGGAAACTAGAAGGATGGTGGTGGCCTGCACTGAGACAGGGAACGTGGGAGAGGAGCAGGTTGAGGGGTGACAGGGAGATGATGAGTTCACTCTTAAACACATTTATGCCCTTGGGATGTCAGGTTGCAGCTGTCCAGATGTTAGCTGTGTTCCTGCATCTAGAGCTCTGCATGGGCGGACATGAAACTTGTGGGTGGTGGGTGGTGGTGGGAGCACTGATAATCTAGATAGGGCATCACCAGCATGAAGAAAATGCCCCACTGTTGTTCTAACTCTACTATTTTTATTAGTGTTTTCCTCTGTCTCGGTATCTTCCTATCATGATTCCAAGTCCTGAGGGGAAGGAGAGTCCAGTTGGCCAAGTCGGGTCACGGGCTTACTCCTTGGTGTGAGGAGGGCAGGAGACTGATTTTCAGCTACTCAAGATGGCACAGGGCAGGTGAGGTAATTTCCCCAGAAGAAATCAAGATGATATTAACCATAAAAAGGGGGGAATGGATGCTGTATGACCCCCAAAATGATAAATGTCCATTTATAACTCCTCCGCTTATTTCAGCCTGTTTTCCTCCTGATGGTTGCTGCTGAGAGGCTAAGAGAGTTCTTTCACCTAAAGCTCTGACACCCTCCATCTACCTCGTAGCAATTGCTTTTTAAGTGTTTATTATTTTTTATACCAATGATCCAAAACATAGTTCTGTAGGTAGTGGTCCCAGGGCCGAAGTATTTCATAGGAAATATTTCAGAAAAGACCCATTTCCTCAAGCACTTGGTTACTTACTGTCTCAGGGCATAAGTAACTATGATGACATAAATCACTCCTGACCAGGTGCTGGCCAGCACCTGAGGCCATCATTCCTGCCCCCTACAAAGCAGCTTCCTAATGAGGGGATAAGCTAACATTTTATTTTTTGTATTTTTATTTTTTAAAGATTTTATTTATTTATTTCACAGAGAGACAGCGAGAGAGGGAACACAAGCAGGGGGAGCGGGAGAGGGAGAAGCAGGCTTCACGCTGAGCAGGGAGCCCGATGCGGCGCTCCATCCCAGGACCCTGGGATCATGACCAGAGCCGAAGGCAGATGCTTAATAACTGAGCCACCCAGGCGCCCCTAAGCTAACATTTTATATTGAGCACTTGGCATGTGTCGGTGGTCAGTCCAGGCATCCTGACCCATGTTATTATTATTATTATTTTTTAAGATTTTATTTATTTGACAGAGAGAGACACAGTGAGAGAGGGAACACAAGCAGGGGGAGTGGGAGAGGGAGAAGCAGGCTTCCCGCAGAGCAGGGAGCCCAATGTGGGGCTCGATCCCAGGACCCTGGGATCATGACCTGAGCCGAAGGCAGACGCTTAACAACTGAGCCACCCAGGCGCCCCTGACCCACGTTATTTATTTACTCCTCACCCAGCCCTGGGATGTAAATGGCATTTTCTGCATCTTAAAAACAAGAAAGATGGGACACAGAGGCATCAAGTGACTTGCCCAAGGACACCAGGGGGAAAGTGGCAGAGCTGAGCTGACACCGTGAGCCTGTCATTCTCAAGTTCTGGGCAGGTGCTGGGAGGCCAGCTGGAGCAGGAGGAACCTAGCGCGAGTCACCGCGTGGGCCTCCAGGCCGCCTGGAGTCGGGGGACATCAGCCAGAGAGGCGAGGGTCCCAGAGCACAAGAGGCTCTAGTCCTCTTCCAGGGAGAAGGGCGCCTGCTCTCTGGCCGCAGATCCCACGGAGCGACTCGGCTTTAATAGACGAACCGGCTTATCTCTTCCAGGAAGCCTGGCCGCAGTGTCTGCGCGGGGATTCCCCGTTCCCGGGACGCCGGCGGGGGGGCGCCTGAGGGCTGTGGGCGCGGAGGAGGAGGCCGCGGCGGGTCCAGGTTGGCCTCCTCCCGAGCCTGTGGTGTCTCCGAGGCTCCGGACTGTCTCAGCAGGAGCTCTGGCCACAACCGAGGGCCCGGAGGAAAGTAGGTCAGTGCGGGGCCAGGCGCTGCTTTCTGCCCGCACCCGCGCTTCCCGCGCTGCGCTGCGCTCCTCCTCCCCGAGTGCCGCCCGCTCCTCTCCCGGTGCTTCCCCTCCTGCAGCGCCCTGTCCTGCCACTCCTCTTTCCGGCCCCCCTGCCTCCGACCCTGTGCACCCGATGCCCTGCTCCTCCCTCTCTCCTCCTCCACCACCTTGGCACGTTCACCTCTGCTGTCCCTGCTTCTTAGTACAACCCCCCTAGAGTCTTTTTAAACAGAGAACGATGTGCTTGTTGTAAACAGATCAAAAGATGCACAGAAGTTAACGCAGGAGCAAAGGAAAAATCCTACCGCTCAGAAAGAACCATCGCTGACACTGGGTGAACAACTAACTGCGCTAGATATATTTTTATAGATATAGGCACATATTTTAATGTATTATGTATATGTGTACAGTTAGAGTATAGATGTAAATATTTTATGAAAGGGAGATGGGGGGCGCCTGGGTGGCTCAGTCGTTGGGCGTCTGCCTTCGGCTCGGGTCATGATCCCAGGGTCCTGGGATCGAGCCCCACATCGGGCTCCCTACTCGGCGGGGGCCTGCTTCTCCCTCTCCTCCTCCCCCTGCTTGTGCTCCCTCTCTCACTGTGTCTCTCTCTGTCAAATAAATAAATGAATCTTTAAAAAAAAAAAAAAAGAAAAGAAAAAGGGAGATGGTAAAAAAAAGGGAGATGCTATTTCTATTAAAAGCATTCAGTTTAATACTTTACTTTTATTTGAAGTCAATACTCACTAGAAATTATAGTGAGAGGGAAAGAATTGTTGAAATTTTTTTTTAAATGTGTCTTTACCACAAGAGATATGATAAAGAATTCCTTTAAGGGGCCCCTGGGGGGCTCAGTCGTTAAGCGTCTGCCTTGGGCTCAGGTCATGAAGCCAGGGTCCTTGGCTCAGGTCATGAACCCAAGGTCCTGGGATCGAGCCCTGCATCCTGCTCCCTGCTCAGCGGGGAGTCTGCTTCTCCCTCTCCCTCTCCTTCTGCTGCTCCCCCTGCTGTGCTCTCTCTGTCAAATAAATAAAGAAAATCTTAAAAAAAAAAAAAATTCCTTTAAGAGGGACGAAAGGATGTGAGCGAGGGATAGAGGTGGGGTGGGGAGAGAATGAGAATTAAGTGATTGGAGATTTTATTTATTTTTATTATTTTATATTATTTTATTTTATTTTAATTTGAGAGAGCACATGGGAGAAGGGGGAGGGGGAGAAGAGAGGGAGAGAGAGAATCCCAAGCAGGCTCTTCACTCAGTGTGGCGCCAGCCATGGGGCTTGATCACATCACCCCAAGATCATGACCAAAGCCGAAATCTAAGAGTCCTACACTTAACTGGCTGAGCCACCCAGGTGCCCCTATTTTTTATTTATTTATTTATTTATTCATGTATTTGTTTATTTATATCAAGTGGTTGGAGATTTTAAAAAGCTACATGTTTCAGTTTTTAAGCAAGTATAATTACTCTTGCTAAGAAAGATGAGAGCATTAACATGTATGCGTTTCCTCCTATCACTTCTTTTGTTTCTTGGTTTTTAAAAGTTACACTATTTTTAATTTTCCAGGTTTATAACATTCACATTCAGTTATTTTAATATATTTCCCCATAGTTCTTTACTCTTGGTTCTATTTTGAAATAGATGCAGTGCTCATCACCAGCCCTGTCCACATGTCTTTTGCATCCCTGAATTATTTATTTAAGGTCATCTCTCAGTTGTCCGGATTTCAATAGAAGTCATTGTTTTCCAGGATGATTTATAAGCCCTGTATTGCTTGAGCAGCATCCTGGACTGGGTATAACATTCTCAAGATACACTTTCTTCCATTTAAAACATTGTGGACGTTATTCCTTTGTCTCCCGGCCTTGAGAGCTGCCATAGATCTGTCTGAGGATAGCTAGGAGTTTTTTTTCTTCCTTGTAGATAATTTTATTTATTTTTTATTTTTTTTAAAGATTTTATTTATTTATTTGACAGAGAGAGACACAGCGAGAGAGGGAACACAAGCAGGGGGAGTGGGAGAGGGAGAAGCAGGCCGCCCGCTGACCAGGGAGCCCGATGCGGGGCTCGATCCCAGCACCCTGGGATCATGACATGAGCTGAAGGCAGACGCTTAATGACTGAGCCATCCAGGCACGCCATACGTAATTTTATTTTTGGTCCTGGGTATGGGAGGAATTCCTTCTGATTCTATATAATTCCAGCTTAACTGGGATATATTTGGTATTGAGCATTCTCAATAAAATTTTCCTGCAATAGATTGTGCCCTTTAGATCTGAAAATCATTATTATTTTTATATCAGGGCAATTTTTTTTTTTTTTTTTTTGGTATTCTGTCTGTAAGCACATCTTCTTAAATCTTTATTGGATTCGCAGTTTAAGGATCAAATATCCGTATGTTGGATAATTTTTGTCTTCCATATCTGTCAGCTTCTCTTGAGCAGTTTTAAGATGTTTGTCATTTTAATTGTAATGCAAGACTTTTATTTCACTAGTTCAGTTTTCCACACAAGATAAGTTCTTTCTTTGCTGTCCTGAATTAGTTTTCCATAATATTATTGTTTTGGTTCTCAATTTGTTTCCTTAGTTCTTCAGTCTCCATTCAGAAAATCCCATTCTATTGTTTTTATTCTCTTATTTGGAGCTCTTGTTTTATTGAGATTTATGTTCTTATTGTTGGTGGTATGAAGTAGCAATAAGGGATTTCCTACTCTCTTTTGAGTCATGTTTTTTGAGTTCTTTCTCCCTTCTTCCTTCCTTCTTTTTTTTCTTCAGTAAGTCTGCGTAGTTTCTGTGACATTTCTTTTCATCTTTCTTATGCTTGGGCGACTCTGATCAAATATTCTATTTGCAATTATGTAGTGTGGATGACTTCTTGACTCTCTTCCTACCCTATTTGAAACCAGATTGTTTCCTTTCCAAGCTATATTTCGAGGGCTAGGTATTTTGTGCTCCATCCACTTATCTGTGACCTGGGGGAATGGTGGAGGGAGGGAGAGAGATCTAGGGATAAGGGCTAGGTTGCTTTAGCCTGCAAGGACAAAAATGCTTTCTGTTACAATTGGCTGGGCTCTATTCTCTCTTTTAAATTATACCAAATATCCTGGATTGAGGTTCACTCCACTCAGTTGAGGAGTGTATACTCATCTCCCCAGGGGTTGGGATAGCCTGGTGTTTTGTTTTCTGCTTCAGTGTATAGGTTGGGAGCTTTTCTAGGTGTTCCCTTTTCTCTGTTGTTCCTGTGTTCTCTCTGTTTCTTCCCAGCAGCCCTTTCCCCTATTTCTAGATCAGAAGAGAAAGGAGTAAGAGTTGGGTGATTAAGTAAAACTTCTCTGGATTTAAAGGGACAACTACTGGGGGATGAGGGTGGTTTGAGAGCCATGCCATGTTGTACCTTTTGCTTGGCTCCAGAATTTTTTGTTCCTTTCTTTAGTCAATTTTTCATTAGTTTACCCTTGATGACTCTTTGGTTTTATACTGGTTTAGCTGTTTTTCTCATTGTGTTAGGTATTGGGAATGGGGAATTTTGAGATGGAATTTCAGTCACTATCTTAAACCTCATAATCTGGAATTTCTGAAGTTGTATTCTGCACATGACCACCAATTGCCCACAGGCTCACACTTTGATTCTATTTATTTATTTATTTTTTAAAGATTTTATTTATTTGACAGAGAGAGACACAGTGAGAGAGGGACTACAAGCAGGGGGAGTGGGAGTGGGAGAGGGAGAAGCAGGCCTCCCGCTGAGCAGGGAGCCCGATGCGGGGCTCGATCCCAGGACCCTGGGATCATGACCTGAGCTGAAGGCAGACGCTTAACGACTGAGCCACCCAGGTGCCCCTCACACTTTGATTTTAAAAAAAGAAATCCTCCCTGGCCCTTGTCGATACTCATTCAATTGATCATTCATTCAACAACATTTATGTTTAAGACACTGTGGTAATTATACTGTTTTTTCACTGTTGCTTCCAAGTCACACATATCATGTACATCCCCACACATCACATTGATCCCAATAGCTTAACTGAGTTGAGAACATTTTCATATCATGTAAGAACTATCAAAAACAAGAAGAAGGAGAAGGAGGAGAGAAAGAAAGAAAGAAAGAAAGAAAGAAAGAAAGAAAGAAAGAAAGAAAGAAAAGAAAAAAGGAAAATTTAGGAAACTTTTTTTCAAGATATTAAAAGGTAGCTTAATTTTTAAACACATTTTTTCAATTTTAAAAAGTCTCCTGGCAATGTTCACTGTAGAACCAGCTCATAAACAGACACATGCACCAAAAACAAAAAACAAAAAACAAAACAATTTAAAAGCCCCCTGGAGTTGCTTAAAATTTTATGTCATCAGTCCTGCTATTTATTAGTCTTCCAACTTCCTGTTGAACTATTGCCTTAAGTTTTTGCTATTTCCTGATACTTTTGCAACATGTTGTTTATATGGTACATTATACTTTAGAAAGTATTTTCCTTTATTTTATTTTATTTTATTTTTTTTAAAGATTTTTTATTTATTTATTTGAGACAGAGAGAATGAGAGACAGAGAGCATGAGAGGGAGGAGGGTCAGAGGGAGAAGCAGACTCCCTGCCGAGCAGGGAGCCCGATGCGGGACTCGATCCCGGGACTCCAGGATCATGACCTGAGCCGAAGGCAGTCGCTTAACCAACTGAGCCACCCAGGCGCCCCGAAAGTATTTTCCTTTAGTTTTTTTTTAACTCAACAGTCACTATTTACCTCTATTTACAAATGAAGGAACCAAGGCTTAGAAGGTGTGATTTTCCAACACTGCCCATAAGGGAGAAGCAGAAGAGAAATAGAATTTGACACAATCCCTGTCCTTGTTTTCCAAATAGTCTTTTCCAAATGGTCCTGCCTCCTGCTGTCTTGAAATATACAGGATGTTTTTGCTTACAGGGAATAAAATTTAGAACCTGTTTATGGTGAAAAACCATTACACATACAAATTTTGTACTTTTTTTTTTTTACCCAAGACTACATCATTAGCATTTTTTAATTCTCTTCGATGTTCCAGACGTCATTTTTAGTGGCTATATCATAATTTACAACACAATAGTCTACTGTTAGACATTTAGTTTCTAGTTGCTATTTTCCTGTAATAGCTGAGAAAGAAATCAGCATTGTTTGTGACACGTAGCTTTTTGCCTTTGTTGAGTTATTTCTTTAGTATAAGTTTCCAGGAATGAAATTATTGGGAATGTTTTATAATGCTGCTTTTCAGAGAGGCCATCTTGATTTATAATGACACCTGTAATGAATGAGGTTCTAGTTTCACTCCAACTTGGCCCGCGTTACATATTGTTTATTTTGTGAAATTTTGCCACATTGGGTAGGTTTAAAGTGATATGTCAAGGTTGCTTTAGCCTGCATTAAAATTTAACAACATGGATATATTCTCTCCATGCTTCTTTACGATTTGTACTGGCCCATACAAATTACCTGTTTATTTTCTTTACCTATCTATTATTGGGTCTTGGAGTGTCCATATAAATCTGAATTACTTCAGGGTTTGACATGTTTATTCTAAATATTTTCCCCTGTCTGTTTTTTGTTTTTTTTTTTTACATTTAAATTCTTGAAACTTGAGACACAATTTGCGTATAGCGAAAATCCGTCCCCTTTATGGGTTCGAAAATCCGTCCCCTTTATGGGTTCGAAAATCTGTCCCCTTTATGGGTTTTGATAAATACATATGGTTGTGTCACCACCACAGCAGTCACAAAGAATTCCATGACCCCCAAATCCCCTTGTGCCCCTTTGTAGTGAACCTCTCCCCTCTCACCAGACCCTGGTGACCACTGATCTATTTTCTGCCCCACAGTTTTGCCTTTTCCAGAGCGTCATATAAATGGAAACGTGCACCATGCAGCTTTTGAGTGTGGCTGCTCGCCCTGAATGGCTGCGTTCCTCCTCCTCGCTGAGCCCTACTCCATTCTGTGGCTGGAGCAGCTTGTTCATCCCCCTTTCTGCTTTAACCCTTCTGTTTTTAGTTTTGTGACATCTCGCTCTCTAAAATTTTTGACTTTTAGATACTCCTCTGTCAGCCAGTCCTTCCTTTGCCATCACTTCTGTTGAGATTTTGCTTCAGCAATTTCTTTTGCAAACAGGAGAATTCTGGGAAGCGTGATCCATACATTTGTCCGCTGTCCTTTCACAGAATGGCCGGTATTTGTGAATGCCTCCATTTCTACCACCATGGGCAAATTCATCTTGGATGAAGCGGCACAATCCTGAGGCTCCCTTGCTGTGAGCTTTCAATTTCTGTGGAATTTTAATCGTTAGTGGCAGACGTGAAAATGCCAAAAATGAAACATTTTCTCCTGGAGGCGAGGGTAGATGCCTGGCCCAGCAGGGATGTGGCAGCACTGAGGAGCTTGAGGAAGCCGGGTGGCATCTCACCTGGTTGGGATACTTTGGCACGCTGAGAGTAAACATTACTTTAAATTCAAGGAAATGGTTTGTTTTTTATACCAGTCGAACACTCAAGTAATCAAACATTCTCCTTGGCAACTTCTTTCTTTTTTTTTTTTTTTTTCTTTAAAGATTTTACTTATTTATTTGAGAGAGAGAGAGCGCACAAGCTGGGGGGAGGAGCAGAGGGAGAGGGAGAAGTAGACTCCCCGCTGAGCAGGGAGCCCATGTGAGGTTCGATCCCAGGACCCTGGGATCGTCACCTGAGCCGAAGGTCGATGCTTAACCAACTGAGCCACCCAGGCGCCCCTCTCCTTGGCATCTTCTTAGAGCAGCTGATAGATTGTCTCCAATTCCTTACCTGGGCCATTATTAGGAATCCGAGCTTGTGTAGCTTCCTTGGAGATAAGTGGGGAAAGTAGAAAGCTTATGGGGCCTGATTAGCATGAGGTTCTTGTACCCTACCGGAAGGGGTCCATGTGACAAAGAATCTGGGGTTTTTCCAGACTTTGGTCATGGCCAGAGATGCATGAAACACTCTCCTGTTCCCCTTGGCAGGAGAGCTTGCTGAATAGGAATAGCCTTTCTGAGCCCCGGGATTAATGCCTATTGCCACCCCTGGACAATAACCTCCATGAGGGCAAGGCCATGTCTGTTTTTGTTGCTCTTGTAGCTTCAGAGCATAGTGCTTGCTAAATGTTTTATTAAATGGATGGATGGATGAATGGATGAACCAATAAACTGAAAACTTTTTGGTCCATTTCCTGAAGCTACAAAGGCGTGCATCACATAAATCCATCCACGAAGCCAACCGTGTTCCCCTGCTGGTGCAGTCGGAAATGAGTTAGGAAGGCAGACTTTGAGATGGGGCCGGAGGAGCCACCTAAAAGGCTTTTGGCTATAGCCTCCAAGACTCCGAAGATCTGGATGAAAAGTGAACCCAAACCTGTGGTGTGGGGGCTCAGAAATGTCCAGATTCTCCATGAGGAGCTAACTCAGCAGGCTATGGAGGGTCTGCCTACGGTTCACTTTGACAGTCACGGCTAGAACGGCAGGGCTCAGCCTGATGGGGGATCTCTGCCAGCTTCAGGGGGCGGAGGGAGGAGAGATTCAGAGGAGTGGACACAAGATAGCTCCTTGGCCCAAGAAGGTGCCAACACTGGGCTATTATTATTTGAGTAAAATACTGTCACATTTTCTGAGCCTGTTTCTTGAGCCCTGACAGCCTCTGTTCACATCCTTCATCTTCCTTTGTTCCTTCTAAGATACCGTGTAGCCCCCACCAGGAGATGAGTCTTCAGCCGGCTGTGGAATATGGGGTTGTGGATTGTTATTCTCAGCCTAACCCGAGTGACACTAACTCAGCAAAGTGATCTTGAGCCCCAGGGGAATGCAGACCTGATGACATGGGTCCCTTTGATAAGGATCGCGGCATGTCCTTGGGTTGGCAGATGCTGTGGGTGGAGACTCGACAAACCCAAATGCCTACCTGAATCTACTACTTACTTTGTGTTTGTTTGTGTGTTTGTTTTCAGTGTTGATACTCTGTCGACAAAACAAGTTGTTTAACTTTTTCTTTTTTGTAGCTATTAGGGTTACAGAGTCCAAAACCTTGTATCTGAGTAGAGACACTGCTAATTACCAATGTGGAGAAGTTTGATAGAGAGAGATGCTATGCAGGGAACCCGACAACCAGCCGCAAATCACAGAAATAAAAACTACCGTCACATCCCCACTGTCCGGCTCCAGCTGGATATCCCTTAGAAACCTGGAGCTCCATCTGTCAGAAACAACACATCCCATCCCCTGGGGACCTCGCTTAGCTGCAATACCGTGAATATATCCACTTGTTAATGTGGATACCCACGAGTCACTTTCGACTTCGTTTTCCCTTCACCCCCGTATCCAGTCACCCACCAAGTCCTGATGATTCTACTTCCTAAATGTCCCCCTAGTCTGTGTACCTCCTTCCCCTCCCCACCATCCTGTAGCATCTCCAGCCAGAGCTACTCAGAGAAGAACCTCCTAACCAGGCTCCCTGCCTTCATTATCAGCTCTCCTCACATCTGAGCATACCACAGGCCACAGATGTTCTGCATTCTCTAGGATAAAGGTCCTTCATGATCTCAGCCTGGCTTTATGCCCTTCTTATAATCCAGGCCTGAGCCATACAAATCTCTCTCAGTCCCTGCAATGTGTGGACCACTCTGTATTTCCCCTCCAAACTGTCCCCCAACACCTTATTCCTGTTGCCTGGCTAATTCCTACCCATCCATTAAGCCGAGTTAGACATCTCTCCCTGGTGCCCCAACCTGGCAGAGCTGGGGGCCTTCCCATGCGTCCCTCTAGTGCCCTTTGTTTTTCCCCTGCCATGGCAGGTGTCAGCCTGTGTCATAATTGCCTGTTTGTCATTGTAGATTTGCTGCCTATGACAGAGCCCGACACATAGTAGGTGCTTAATAAATGTTTTTACAATGAATGAATGAACAAAAACAAGAGAGAGATTGGCTTGGCACAAAATGAGCATATTAAGACCTAATAGGTGGGGTGCCTGGGTCACACAGTCGTTTGGGCATCCAACTCTTGGTTTCAGCTCAGGTCATGATCTCGGGGTCATGAGGTCCAACCCTGCGTCAGTCTCCATGCTCAGCGCACTCTGCCTGAGACTCTTTCTCTCCCTCTGCCCCTCCCCTCCATGCTCTCTTCTCTCTCTCTAAAATAAATAAATCTTAAAAAAAAAAAAAAAGACCTAATAGGTTCCCAGGATGTACTAATGAGAAATTATGACTTTGCGGGTAATGGTAGTGGTTATTTCTAATTTCTTCCCTCTCTTTCCATTCTCTGCCTCCTCCTTTTGACTATACATTTTCTAAAATTTCTACAATCAACATGTATTTCTTTTCTAGTAATATAAGAAAATACTACTCATTCATTTTATTGCCCCAAAGAATGAATTTTGCATCCTGGATTTTGAATTTTGCATCAAAAGAGGGGGGATTGAACCCTGGGTGCTGCTCCTGGAAGGTCAGCAGCAGCCCTTTACTCTAGATGCATTTTTCTCATTTAGCTATGTTTCAGCATTTCAAGGATTTTCAGCCAATTAAGATGTACTCAGATGAGATGGCTTTTAAAAAAGAAGTCTTTATGGGTATTAAAGAGGGCACGTTCTGCATGGAGCACTGGGTGTTATGCACGAACAATGAATCATGGAACACTACATCTAAAACTAATGATGTAATGTATGGGGATTAACATAACAATAAAAAAATAAAAAAAAGAAGTCTTTAAAATGCTAAAATAGGCAAAATAGCAAACCATGCTTAAAAGGAAGCAAAAACACTGAAGGGATGAAATGCTATGTATCATGGAAGAAGGAATTAATTTTGACACGATTGTTACACATATAAAATTAAGGTGGACGTGTCCTTGGATGAACGAGCTGAATGGGCTCAAGAGCTCAAGCAGAGAAACGGCTGCCTAGCATGCGCACCCTGCAAGGCCATTTGGGTGACTGCATGGTGTTCTGTGTATTCTGTCTGGTCCTTCGCTGTGAGGCCCCGCCCATCCCACCAGTGGGTAGACGGACCTTGGCTGGAGGCAGGCCAGTCACCTGGGTGCCAGGGGTTTCTCGGACAGGAAAAGGGGGCTGGAAGTTTTATCAGGGGAGAAGGAAGGGTCTTTGGATCTAGACTTCAGGGAATCAAAATGTCTAGGAGAGTGCTTCCGTTCTGCATCTGCCTCCCGGCTGGTTCCTGCACCACACAGCTGTTTTTTCCAGTTACCCAACTGCGTAGTGCGTCCTCCACCATGTAGTGCTGTCAGACGAACAATGTTTGCATCGGTGCATTCTGTGGGGGAGGAATTCAAACAGGACACATTGGGGACGGCTTGTCTATCCACCAGTGTTTGGGGCCTCAGCTGGGACAGCTCTGCAAGGCTAGCAGCTGGAGTCAACTGCAGGCTTCTTGACTCATCTGTCTTGTGGTTGATGTCAGCTATTGGCTAGGGGCCTCAGTATCTCTCCACGTCATTCTCTCCATGTGAGCTTATACCTGGGATAGTTTGGTTGTCCTCACAGCATGATGCGGACTTCCCCCAGAGCAAGCATCCCAGAAGGGACGAACAGGGCAGAAGCTGTATCCTTTGGACAACCTGTCTTCCAGAATCACATGGCACCACCTTTCCTGGGGAGAGCATACCCAGCCCCTGTCCTGACTCAGAGGTGGAACCAAGACCCGACCTCTCAATGAGGATGTGGCCAAGTCCCGCTGGAAGAGCATGTGGCAAAGAAGATCTTGTGGTCATTTAGGAACTGCCCTGTTTCAGGACCTTCAGGAACATCCCTTACAAGCCTGGGATGAAGGCTGCTCTCCAAGTCATATAGACTCTCTCTCTCCCCAATGCCTTTGATTAAAGGTTACTCCTTCTACAAGGTCTTCCCTGGCCACCCTGAATCTGCTCAGATATTCTTTATCACCATGCCCTCCTCATTTCCTTTATTGGCTTATTCCACTTTGGGATTACGTATTGATTTCTTGGTTAAGTACCAAATCTATGCCTATTTTATTCGTATCCTCACTGCCTAGCACAGTGCCTGGCACATGGTATTCACTCAATGGAGATGGGTTACATGAATAAATGCTACAAAGTGCCTACCTCAGAGAGGCTGGCTGGGAGCTGGAATCTAGGGCTGGCTTAGATCCCTAGGTGATCATGTTTTCAGTAAGTCCCTGTGTTTAGCTTCGCTTTGCTCTCCCCTGTTATTTGCAAATCCTGATACCGTGCTTCAGCCTTGACCCCGCTGAGCTAAGGTTCCTCATTAAGGCTAGGGCGGGCGTTAAGTGGGAAGCAGCATCCCCTAGTGGCCAGGATGCTGGTGATGGTGACAGATCCCCAAAGGAAGGCAGGTGTCTGGGCACAAGAGCTGAGATCCAGCTGCCCCAACCACATGGAGATTCACTGAGATTCATTTCCTGCTTCTACCCTTGGGGAATCTGGATTTTATTGGTATTAGTGGAGATCACTTTTGATTACAATTGGAAAGACCCCTTCACATAAATGTGCTTACCAGGGGCTGTTGTGTCATGTATTAAAACATCGCAGTTCTTTAAACGTGACTTTTAGTAGCTGTCACTAGGCAAGCTGACTTACAGCAGCTGTGACTTACCTTTGGCTTATAGCTTCCATTAGTGAAAAAACATGTAATTATGCTCTGACCTCATTGCTAATCATCTTCCCTTTGTACACTCTGCCCTGGCACTCGCACACTTTCCTCTTTGCTAATCTTCAAACCCGTGCAGAATGCCCTACCTCAGGGCCTTTGTACCTGCTGTTCTCTCTGCCCCAGGTACTCTTGCTCCAGGGTACATGGCTCACCCCTCATCTCCTTCAAGTCTTTTGTTCAAAGTGGGTCTTCTCCACGAGGCCTTCTCTGACCATCCTATTAACACTTGCAAACTTCCCGCCAAGGCAGGCCCCATCTCCTCTCCAAAAAACTTAGCTCCTTTTAATGTCATGTAATAACGCTAATTGTCTGACTGTTTCCACCAGACTTTAAGCTCTAGGAGGGCAGAAATTTTTGTTTCCTTTCTTCACTGTTGAATCCCCAGCTCCTAGCTCGAACATAGTCAGTGCTCAGTAAATACTTGTTAAATGCATGATTAAACAACTCTGTTAATAACCATTCTTTATGCTGGGCATTTAACAAATCATTTTCATGATCCACTCCAGCAACCTATTAGGTATTTCTTTTTGTCTCTGTTTCATAGAAGAAGAAACAGGCTCACGGAGGTCAAGTAATTTGCTTGGGGGAACACAGCTACTACCTGGCTGAGTTCGGAGTCAAATTCAAATGTGTCTGACTTCAAGGTCAATGCTCTGTTTGGTTCTGCTTCCTCCCTGACCAATACCCAAAAGAGACCCAGCCCTGCTCCGTGGCTGGGTGAGGAGGAGCAGGGTCAAGAAGAGCAGACATACAGGTCCAGGGTTGGGAAGTACGGTGTGGGCAGAAAATGTTGGGGGTGTGAGTTGTTCTCCACACCATTCCACAGAAGCTGCGCGCCAGAGGAGATGGCTGTGAATTTCAGGATAGCCCTGTCTGTCGCAGCCTGACCTGAAGGCCCTAAGGAGACCTACTCCACCCCAATTACACACTGATCAAACTCCCCAAAGAAACTATGTTTCTGAAATTGTGGAATTCAGGGAATTCTATGTCTCATGTTGACAATCATGATTATAAATGATTATAGGCTACATGATGATAAGTATGGGGAGTCTTTTTAAATACAAGACTTTTTTCCTTAACACAAGGCATTTTAAATGGAGTGCCTGCCCTGTGACCACCCACCGCCAGGTCTCAGAGGTGATTCAAAGGGAGAGGTTGGAGGAGTCTGGTTAGTGCTGTGAGGTTCCCTCTTGGAGCTCGGAGATGAGAGATAAGACTGAGAGATCTGAGTTCGGAATGGGGCCCTTCAGGCACCCTGAGCCTGAGCAAGGGAATGTGATGGTATAAATCCATGGTCCTCAAAGTGTCGTCCTGGATCAGTGGTGTCAATATCATCGCCTGGAACTCGTTAGAAATGCAGACTCTCCCCTCTCCCCTACCCAGTGCTGATATGGGGCCCAGCAGCCCGGTTTTAAGAAGCTCTCCAAGTGGTTCTGAATGAGAACCACTGGTGCATACCTTAATGCAAAAGTAGGGCCTCGCTCATTCTCTGGTTCCTTCAGTAATATTTGTCCCCCCCCCATGGCTGTGCTATAGGGTCTAGAGTCAGATCTGGATTTGAAGGCCGCTTTGAATGCAAGGGTAGTTAATTTCTCTGGGCCTCAATTTCTTTCTCATTAAAATGGGGATAAGGAGCACCTGCTCTATAGAGTTATTACATATGGTTAAAATGGAAGGAGACCATGTGTATAAAGCTCCTGGCATAGAGTGTGTATTCAGTACCTTCCTTTGGTATTTGCTTCCTGCCTCCCTCCTCCATTAGTCTGGACATTTTTGATTAAGAACCACAGAAAGCCGTTCACAGTGGCTTAAGGAAAAATAAATATTTGATGGGTTCAAGGAATTCCTTGAATAATTGTCCATACTTGCTGCCTCTAGTTTCTCTCATCCCACTCATTTTGAACCCACCCCCATCGGGGTTTTGTACCTCTGCTCCTCCACTGAAAGTGCACTTTGGGTTTGCAGGGACGACCTTGAGGCTCAATCCAATGGCCCTTTCTGAGCCCTTATCTGATGTGCCTTTTCAGTAGTACTGGACACAGGTGTTCATGTTCTCCTTGATATGCTTTCTTCTCTGGCTTTGGGGACAACCTCCTCCCCGACCCTCCTCCCATGGCTGGGTGACCAGGCTTCTTTGTTGAGTGTCCATCACTCTTTAGCTCTCTAAAGGCTTAAGTCCTGCAGAGCTCTGGCCTTGGACCTCTTCTCTCTTCTACCCATACTGTCTTCCTCGGGGATCTCATCCAGCTACATAGTTCTGATCCTAAGCCAATTTATATCCCCAGCCTGGACCTCTGCCCTGGACTATACTCCGGAATATCCACCTGCCTTTGCAGTGTCTCCACTTAGATGTCTCACAGGTTTCTCAAACGCTGTTATGTCCAAACAGAGCTCCCATTAGCCCCCATGCCCTACCTCCCACCGAATCCTGCTCTGCCACAATTTTCCCATCTCGACTGTGATTGGTCAGACCAGTGTCATGTGCTCATTTCTGGAAATGGGCAGTGGGTTCCGGGGGAGGGGGGTGGAGGTTACCCTCTTCCCAAGTCACTGGATGGAGACTCAGAGAAACGTGTCCTCCCAAAGGAAAACTGGGGTGCTATTACCACGAGAGAGTGAATGAGTGCTGGGAAAACAAAACCATGACTGCACTATTCCCTCTAATTTTAGACTTATTTGAGATATCTGACAGGTGGAAGTCTCAGGAAGCAGAGAACAGCTTGCGGCCTGGCCCAGAAGCTGTGGAACTTGGTTTGGGACTTTGAAACTGTTCCTTGTCTAGGATTATGATGAAAGAAAAATCCACAGGCCACCTCAAACCAAAATCAAGGTTTTGGCAAGCCTGTATTCCTTCTGGAGGTGCTAGTTTCCTGGGTTTTTCCAGCTTCTAGAGGCCGCACACATTCCTTGGCTCGGGGCTCCCTTTCATCTTCAAAGCGAGCAACGAAGCATCTCTGTGACCCTGTTTCCATCCTCACATCTGTCTCTAACTGCCTCCCTCTGCCATTTTTAAGAACACTTGTGATTATATTGAGCCCACCTAAATAATCCAGATCACTGTCCATATCTGAAGGTCAGCTAATTAGCACCCCTAATACCATCTGCAACCTTTATTCCTCCTTGCCGTGTGAGGTCATATATTCACAGGTTCTGGGGATTAGGATGTGGCTCCTTGGGGAGGCCATTATGCTGCCCACCACAGATAGGACAGATGGTTAGCTCAATCTGGTTCACATGGCAGGTGCGGCAGGGTACCAATACTGACAAACCCACAAGTCCGCCTCATGGGTTGGGGGCAGAAAAGTTTCCCAAAGAAACAGTGAGTGGCATGAGAGAAGAGCTGTGCCCACCTCCTGTTCCTTCTGAGGGTCTAGGCAAGCTCTCTTGATGCTGAACAAGACTGTCATATGCCCCATCGAAGCTGCTTTACGTTAATAGACTTCTGATTCTAAAGTGGAAGTGCCCCATTGTGATGGTTAATTTTTCATGTCATCCATTTCTCTGGAGAGACCTGACTAATGCACCCGTGGAAAGAGAGTCAGGAGCCCTGGTCCTGCCTGTGTTTCTTGCTGAAACAATTTTGAAGGTTCTGTCAAGTCTGGGAATTCTAGAATTCTCAGACCTCACCTGGCTGGGGTTGGAGAGAAACCATCCTAGAGGGAGGAGTCAGCATGAGAAACTTCTGACTGGCTTTTTCCTTAAAGGGCAGCAGATTCTCCAGAGTTGCAGGTGATTCTCACTGTAACAAAAGAGGGAGAAGGGTCAGAATCCATCACAGCAGCACCTTTTATCTATCACCTGCAAGAAGCAAACAAGATGATGTGGATGTTGGCTGGGAGCCCAGTGCTCCCTGGAGCTTTACAGAAGAGGCAGACCTGCTACTCCCAGAGTTCTTCTGTGGTCTGGTCTACACTGGAGGGGGAGAGGCAGGCTTCTAGCTCCAAGCAGATCTGTGTCCCCAGCCTCATTTGCCTGGGCAGGCACCCACCCAAGAGTCTTGGGGCTCATGACACTGCTTAGATGTGGAGACAGGGGCAGGGGACTCCAGGCAGGGGACTTCAGGCCAGGATGCTGTCAGAGCACAGGTAGACAGACACTACCTTCAGTGGACTGAATGTTTGTGCCCCCCCCAATTCATATGTTGAAACCCTAATCCCTATATGATGGTATTTACAGCTGGGTCCTTTGGGAGGTGATTAGGTCATGAGCGTAGAGCCCTTGTGAATGGGACTGGCACCTTTGGAAGAAGAGACCAGAGATTTAGGTAGTTCTCTTTCTCCTGTGTGAGGATCCAAGAAGACTGTCATCTGTGAATCAGGAAGCAGGTCCTCACCAGCCACAGAATCTGATGGCACCTTGATCTTGGACTTCTCAGCCTCCAGACTTCGAGAAATAAATTGCTTGTTGTTTAAGTCTGTGGTATTTGCTGTAGTGGATTAAGACAAGGTCCTTGATAATCTTCCAGGGCCTGGAAGCAGGAGAAGGACTGATATATTAATATTCAGCCCAGGGCAACCTCAGCTCCCCATTTCTGAAGTTTGGAGTTTGTTAGAGTCCAAAACTTAGCCATATATATATATATATATACACATATATATACACATATATATGGCTGTGTTAGATTTTTCCCCTTTCTTTTATCTAAACCCTGGAGGAAGAATAACCATGGAAATTAGAGGAAGCATGGAATATTTCTTTCTGAGAGGTTGAAAACAAGTACCAAAGTCCACTTGAGTTATTTATAAGAAAAAAGTTTGGACAGAGCTCTTTAAAAAGTGGATGGTGGGGGCGCTTGGGTGGCTCAGATGGTTAAGCGTCTGCCTTCGGCTCAGGTCATGATCCCAGGGTCCTGGGATCGAGCCCCACATCAGGCTCCCTGTTCAGTGGGGGGCCTGCTTCTCCCCCTTCCTCTGCTTCTCCCCCTGCTCATATTCTCCATCTCTGTGTCTCAAATGAATAAATAAAAAAAATCTAAAAAAAATAAAAATAAAAAAAATAAAAAGTGGTCGATGGAACACAACCTTCAAGATGAACATGTATGTAAGCTTGAGAGCATTCTCAAGCTTCCGGGTGGCTCACAAACAGAAACTGTATCTGGTAAATCTTGGGAAAACAAAAATAGGCTAACAAAGTTGAGAGCAATGAAAGGCTAGTTAGAAAGGTGGCAAATCAACTTGGACATGGGTCTTTGCATATCCTGCAATCCTGTCCTGAAGAGTTCTGTTCTGTGTATCTTACTAAGGTTCTTTTTGCTTTGTTTTGTTTTGATAAAAAAATTAAGAACTTATAATTATCTCTTTGAAGGCTTCTTATTTCTTCATTTCTCCTCCTTTCACCCTAACACCCCCTATGAACTTGCTCTTGTTGCCAAATGGATCATTTGAGTTGGATACAGGAATTAATTCAGGTAAATGAATGTCCACTTAATGTACATGAAGCTTTGTCTTATCAGGCAAATAGCTCCTCAAAGAAGGATGGTGGATATCATCTACAAGATTAGAAACGGTTCTGCTTTGCTTTGTTAATTTAATTTACTTTTCATTATTTAACGGAATAGAAAATTTAGTGTAAATGTGTACTGGACAGTGAAGCCATCTTGGTAGGTTGTTTAAACCAGGATTTCCCAAGTGCCACGTATCCATCACCTGGGTAACTTGGTAAAATACAGATGCTTGGTGTTACCCCTAGGGATACTGATTTAGTGCCTCCAGAGGTCTGGAGATCTCTGTTTTAAAAACCTTCCTTAGGGTGAATTGACCATCCACTATTGTCCAGGCAGCACGCCTGCCCGAGGGCAGAGCAGCCAGGAGGGAAGCCACAGAGTCCTGGGCATTTAGCCCCAGAGAACTACATCCATAAAATGTCAGGACTGTCCCAGATAGAAATCAGCAACATGGGACAGGGACCAGTGGCTGGAAGAGGAGTTCCATCGGGAGGGTCCTGGATTGTCCAGGTGGAGATGACCCATGGGCAGGTGCAGACAGGACTCTGAGCTGCTGGAGTCTTGAGCTCACGGACGATGACACGTGATGAAAGCGTTTATGAGGCAGGACGGGATCAGTACATCAGGGAGGCGCCCAGATGTGCAAGGAACAGACAGAAGATACGGGTGAAGTTTTTTATCTCGGACTCCAGAGGTAGAGCAGAAGTCGCCAGGGGAGCCAGAGACTGAGACTGAGAAATAGGATGTTTAGAGTGATCTTCAAAGAGGAAACTTCAGGAACTTTCAGGGAGGAGAGGAAACCAGATTCAGAGACATAGTGTGCATGTGCATGCGGATCACTTGTTTAAGAAGGTTAGTGGGTTAAGAAGGAAGAAATACGATGGTATTTTTAGGTGGTCGAAAGGTCATTTTAAGTTTGGGGAAATCTGAGCTAGTTTGTAGGCAGAGGGGAAGGAGAGGAAGATATTATTGATGTGAAGGGGGAAAAAAATCATGGAGCAACAGTGTGTTAAAGATGGCTTAAGTCAGGATCCTAGCAGGAAACAATCCGCTTCAAATGGCTTAAGATTCTTTAATAAACCTCCATTCTTAGAAGTGTGGTTTGGGTTAAGAGAATCAACAAGGGATGTCGGGGCACCCAAAGACTAGCAAGAGCTGGGAGCCATTACCACCCATGGCTTTGAAAGGGCAAGAGGAGAGAGTGGGGTGTGGGAACCCTGTGAAAGCTGAGGCTGTGGTCACCGGGGAATGCAGTCATACCCAAACCCGGACAGGCAGAGAGGGCGCTCTGGAGGGAGGACCCCTCTCTCCTACCCTCTGATCACCTGCAGGTGCCTCCCATTCGTTGAGCCCAACTAACAACTACAGGGGAGAGAGAATCATGGCCTAATCCTTATAACCGGTGAATAGGTTAGCCTATATGGTAAAAGAAACTTTGCAGATGTGATTAAGTTAAGCATCTTGAGATGGAGAGATTAAACTGGATTTTCCGGGTAGGCCCAGTGTATTCACAGGAGTTCTTATCAGAGAAAGAGGAAAGCAGGAGAGGAATAGTCAGAGAAAGAGATGTGACAATGGGAGTAGCCAAGAGCCAAGGAATACCAGTGGCCTCTGGAATTTGGAAGAGGCAAGGAATGGATTCTCCCCAGGAGCCTCCAGAAGGGGCAAGAGCTGCTGACACTGGGATTCTAGCCCCATGAGACTCACTGTGGACATCTGACCTCCCGAACTATAAAAGAATAGGTCAGTATTGTTTTGAACTAGTAAGTTTGTGGTCATTTGCTGCAGCAGGAACAGTAGACTAATTCAGTAAGGGAGCCCCGGTGACGCATTCCATAGAAGTCAGCTTCCAGGGACACACAGGACAGAGAGGGTGAAGAACGGAACAGAAGGGACAAATGACATAGGGACAGATGTCAACATCTAGAAATCAGATTTCTCTGGAAAGCTGCATTCCCTCTGCTGAAGGGTAGTGTGAAGAGCAGAGGATGACTGGATGGGGGAGATACTTTAAAGTGTGAAGGGGGATACCAGCACACATCACTAGGTGGATGTACGTGATTTTGAGTGTACTAAGATGAGGTGGAGCCAAAATTGGGGTGAGGCTGGAATAAGAGGCCAAGGCAAGGGTTGGTGAGGGGACCGCCCCAACCAGCATCACTCCTCCACAGTAGTCCCTAATTTCTCTGGGTTTCATCTTTTTCCCCAATCTCAGTCCAGGTGTTTGGGGGACCCATCTCCCTCCTACCGGTGATGGGCATGCGGTCTAGGACTACCCAAGCAGCATAGCTCTGTCCTTCCGGCCAACTGATGGGTTGAAGGATAAGCATGTGACTCAAGTTGGTAAATCAGAGTGAAGCCCAGTTCTTGCCCAGGAGTTACCTGGAAGAGAATTTCTCTCTTTTCTGCTGGACTTGAACCCTGGGAGGGCATGAGGGCAAAGTCTATCTGAGTTGCAGCCAACAGAGCAGAAGAATAAGGTGGATAGACACTGGCGACATTGTTCAAGTCCCCGAATCCAGGCACACTTCAGTCTGCCATAGCTCTGGTCTTTTCTGTTTTATGTCAATGAACTTTCCGTTTTGCCTAACCGTTTGTAGTCATCTCTAATTGAAATGCTGCCCTTCTGACACCAGGCCTATGCTTGGGACCAGCCCCGCCCTTCACTTGTCCTCTTTTGATCCCATTGTGCATGGAACATTTGCTCCCCTGTGGCTTCAGCACCTGTGTAATTTATCAAAGAGGACTGTAGTCAAGGTGACAGGTCATTGATGACAGGTTTTTTGAGAGCAGAAAACTGTCCCCAAAATAGGATACTTTGTGCTGTTCTTGAAATGGTTTCACCGTCAAGTCACAAAGGGAGGTTTTTGTCCCCTACATATGTAGGTATGTAACATCACAACAAAGACCCAAGAAGCAATTTCCCTTTTTCGGGATGAGTAAATATAGAACTAGCCATTGCCAAAAACCAATGTGCTAGATAAATGTACTCTCATAAGAGAATGATTTTCCTTATAAGTGTACCAACTGAACTGGCATTTTTTTAGTCCTTTACCCTTTGCAAAGTATCATCTGCCTCAATCAACCCAGATTAAAACCACCCCAAGAAGTGGGTATTACAGTTCCCATTTTATGGGTCTGGAAATTGAAACTTAAGAGGTTAAAACACGTCACCCCAAGTTCCCTAGTGAATGAGAGTCAAAGATGGAATTAGAACCCAGGTCTCTGCGATTCCACGATCCCACGTAATTAACACCACACCAGGCTGGCTGGGTGAGAGAGTCAGTGGCAATGTCAGGTGGATTTGGGCTTAGAGTCCATTTCATACTCTCTGCTGCCAGGGACAACCTCTGTGGCTTCCTCAGACCATTGAATAAGGGTCAGAGAAAAGTTAGAATGTCCTTAGTGGAAAGCAGGGGCAAGAGTTCAGAGCTTACTAACTTGGTCTTCCTCCATGATCTTTCACCAAGTCCTGTTGATTTTGCTTCTCAAACAGATCTATGTATTTCTGGCCATCTGCAAGCCCCAGCTTCTTTTGCCTGGACAACAGCTGTTGTCACAGGACTCTGTTTCCACTCTTGTCAACTCCAGCCCATTCTCCAAAGTGCGCAGGAGTGAAAGCAACAGAAGTCAAGTTTTGTCCCTTCTCTATTTAAGACTTTTCATGATTCCATCTTCTCTTAGGATCAAAATCACACAATCATGAAGGCTTTTCCTGCATATCCTGGCCCCCTCTGGCCCCTCAGCTGCATAATTCACATCTCTCCCCCCATCTCTGGGCTCCAGCCACACCGGCGCTGCTCTCTCCCAGCTCTCTTCAGTGTCATGATCACTTTGGTCCCGGAACCTGTTCCTACTCCTAGGATGCTCTAACCATGCCATTCCCCCGTCTCCCACATGGAACCCCTTCCACCTAGTTTATCCTGCCCACCCTTCCATCTCAGCCTTCTCTCTTCCTCCAGGAGAGTCTCCAGTTATTGGTCCCAGTAGCACCCTCTTCATCTCTTTTCCTTGTAGCACTTACC